AAAGAGTGTAAGGATGGGTCTGTCTGATAGTTTGGATGTGTATGTGACTGGAAAAAAAAAGTGCAGACTGGTTTTTTGTGCTTTCATAGAAACCCTTTTTTTTTTTTTTTTCCTAAGGAAAATTAGTTTGAAAAGACAAAATATATACCACAGGACCCAGAACCAGGAATTCCCAAGAAAAAGATGTCACTCTCAGGACAAGATACTCTGTTTTTACTTTGATGTCACCACACAGCCAACCTATACTCAAGGAAGCCATATTAAGCAGATTTTAATGTATTCTTTAGTCTCAATGACATTTAAATATAAATGGCACTAAGCATTCGAACCTCTTTTCCTCTCACTCTCCCCTCATCTCTCAGGTGATCCATTATTGTTTTTCAGCTAAAAGAAGATAACAACTTCTTGTGTCACTTGAGCAAAATACAAAATCAGCAACATTCAAAGTCTAACTTATCTTTCAAACCCACGGTATCTAAGGTGCACTAACATCAAATGAAAACCAAAAGATTCACCAGAACTGGGAATGCTGTAAACAAATTAATTATACCTGCCTCAGATGCCTTAATTGCTCTTCCCTCAAATTTACTTCAGTTTACTAAGGAGGACCTTTCTCAAACCTTCCTTATCCTGGACAACTTCTTTTGACTTGGAAGCAGAAGAGAACTACATAGGTGCTGAGTGATTTATTTCTAAATGCAGCTTTCCTACCTTAGTAATGTTTTTTCCCCTGTTTTTCTCTTTACAGAAGCGAAATGCTGATAATGACTTGGTGAGTAAGGCTTGGTTTTGTCCAGGCTAGTGAGAAAGATTTATAGTGACAAGAATATTCTTACTGTGTTCACAACATGTTTCTGTGAGTTGAGACAGAGCGAATGATATTTTTAAATGTGTTTGACGAGGGGAGTAGCCCAGAGTTGCTTGTTTTTGGCAGTTCCTTTCCAAGGTCTGATGGAAACTCCTGGAGAAGGAAAGAGAATGAACAAATTATTTTTAACCTTGTTGTATTTGAATAAATAGCAAAGTTGTTTAAAGTCACCTCTGTATCTCTAACAGACATCCATTCTCTGCTGGTTTTATTTTATGTTGTAGTTACTTTTAAGGAAGGCGAGAGACCTCATCTCTGGGGCTGATTCCACTTGGCACCTGGACTTCACTTCAGCAATGCTTAAATGCTTTGATTGGGGACCTTCTTAATCAACCAGCCAGAGATCAGGCCCACCATAAAAACTCCAAAGTTCTTTTCCGTGCTGGTTTTGCTGCAAGATGCAGACCTTGTTGTTACTGAGTTGCCTAAGGCATCACATCTGTTGTTACCTATGCTTTCATATAGCAACCTTATACCTGAGCACTCAAAGAAAATAAGTATTGCCCAGTTGTGAGGAAATGGAGAATAACATAAAATGGAATATGGAGCCATCTGGAATTGTCTAGGTCTATTTTTAAACAAGATGTCTACTTATATCCCTGCTGTAGGAGTCATCCACTCAGCTGATAATTAGTCACTAATAGAGAGAGGCAGCAGTAAGTTGTGCTCTTTGACTAACCATAAACAAAAGTCACAGTCTCAGTAGTGAAAAAAGCTCCAATTCTTATAATGGCAATGTCTTTGCTGTGGTGGTATTTTGTTAAAGAGGCTATAGTTATAATGCATGGAATAGCATGGTGATGGCAGTGTGATAGCTATCCAACAAAACGCAGCTGTGCTCCAGTTCTTGTAATAAGGTCATTCCTGGTTTGCTTTGGAGTGATAGAATGTCCTGCCACGATTTCTTTTTAAAAATACGATTATGGCTGATTAACACAGACATCAATGTAACAGCTAGCTCTTTTTTTAATTTTATTTTATTTTTCAATCTACAGGTTGTCAATGGGATAGAAATCTCCAGCATGAAAATTGATAGTAAAATAACTTCCCGATTTGCCCACAATGTCATCACCAGTCAAGCTGTCAATCGTGGAAATGTGCACAAAGAAGTCTTCTTTGATGTTGAACTCCCTAAGACAGCCTTCATTACCAACTTCAGCATGTGTGTAATCTTTACAATATTGTGAGAGAAGACTGAAAACCTGGTAAATGCAACTGGGAGAAACCGAACACAAATATTCATTTTTACTTTGCCATTTGATAGATTTCTAAATGCCTCCTGGGTAATTTTCTGGTACTGTTAACTTAACATGCAAGATACTTGGAGAAAGGCAAACATTGGTACATCTATAGAAACGATGACTAATTTTCAATTATTTCTATTCATCTTCATGGACCTTAGGGAACAGGGAGTCTTCTCTGGAGATCCATTCACCTTTTCAGAAATACTACTTACTCTGGTGTTATCAAACCAGAAAAGTTCCATTATTTAATTTCCCTCATGGCATTATAGCTTAATTTATCTCTTCATTTTAAAATCGTATTTGAATGAAAGGCAGGAAATAGAATTTTTCCTTTACATTTGTACCTTTTGTTGCAATAATATGCAATTCTCACACCATTATGAGGTTTAATTCAGTTTAAGCACATCTGTCTGTGCTAATCACACTATGCCTGTTTTATTGTCAGTTAAAAGAAACAGTAGCTTTTAGGGCAAAACTACTCTTAATGCATGCTAGACCTTTTATTATAGGATGAGATGAATCTCGTATGAGAAATATCTGTTTAATGGTGTAAGGAGTCTAAGGATGAAATGTTCAGCTGTAGACTGCTACATTTGGACAGAGAGTCGGCTTGCCATTAGATGAGATGAGATGGTCAAGCTGCTGAAGTGTAGGAATATGGCAGGCGTAAGTAGTGTTGCTATCAGCCCAATTTTGATCTAATTCATTTTCAGAGCAAAAATTGGTTTAGATTCTCTTAAGATATGAAGTACAGAGCTCTTCATTCTAGCTAAATTCACTGAGAAGACTAACTTCAGTGAAAGTGCTCAAATCTTGGTAATATCAGATTCCTGAAAGTGCTTTTTAGCAAACCAATCAATGAACATAGAATTGCCTATAGTAACTTTTCATGTATCGGTGCAAACCATTCAGCTAAACTAAGACTTTTTCATCCGCAGGACAATTGATGGTGTCACTTATCCTGGAACTATAAAGGAAAAAGAAGTTGCAAAAAAGCAATATGAGAAGGCTGTTTCAAAGGGACAGACTGCTGGTCTTGTCAAGTAAGAATGATGTCTTGTGTGGCTTCCACACCATCATCCTGTAGCAAATTGTGAGATTGGAAATACCTTGGTCTGGCATATTTCTGAAGTTTGTTTTTTACAGGACCAAAGAACAATCATTAAGTTAGAATTCTTGTAGTGTAAATTATAAAAAGAAAATACAACTTCTGACTACACAGGCAATATCTGCAATTGTGGAAAGACTGTTTGTGCAACTTTTATTGCCTTTGTATGACCTGTTCCTGGAATTAAGCTCACTAGGAAACTTGAATAAATTCTACAGTTTGAGTATAATTTTAGCAATAGATCAAAATTCCCATCTTTGTTTTACTCCTTTTTGAAAGTCATACTCCACCAACCCAAACAATAAATATTGTGAAAGAGGATAAAGATATTCTTTTTCTTACCCACTTAAATACAGAGCTTCAGGAAGAAAAACAGAAAAATTCACTGTCTCAGTGAACATTGAAGCAGCCAGTAAAGTCACCTTTGAACTCACATATGAGGAACTGCTGAAGCGACAGTTTGGAAAATACGAGATGTTCATCAAAGTAAAACCGAAGCAGCTTGTCAAAGATTTTGAGGTAAATGGCAAACTATCAAATTGGATACTGTAACTTAAGAGATGATGAAATTCTGTACATTTGTTGAAAGTGGAGTACCATGGTTATTCCCATTGGTTCATAGGTGTGCTAAAGGCCCATGATAACATTTCTAATGAATCACGTGGGTAATCCAGTGTGCTTTAGTGCAGATTTTTATTTGTAAGCCTGACAAATTGGCTCAGCTACTAACCCTCCAGAAGAAATTATATATGGAAACCTTGAAAAGCCATTATGATGCCTTGGGGTAAAACAGAAGACTAATAGCTTTTATGAATGTCTTTATAGCATAAACTACACCTTTCTCACACCACCATGAAACTATATCGTCTTAAATTACAGTGATATATATATCACATTCTAGAATACTGTGGCTTTTGTGTGCCAAAACTTATCTTTGGTCACTCCTAACTGCCTTGCTAATACCAGCTCTAAGGCAAAATATTTCTCCTTTGTGTGCCCAGAAAATGCTGTGTAAAAGTCATTACAAAACTTGGCATGTATAAGAGTTTATGCAGCATTATTTTAAACACACTACAATAGAAGGCATGCTGAAATATAGGTCAAAGTTGGGCACAACTCACAGCTAATGGCTGGGTTATATTTTTGAAGGACTTGACTATTTATTAACATTTTACAAAGTTCCAATATCTAGCTTTCAAACAAGTTACATTTCTATTAAGGTTTATTTGTTTCTAGCTTTATTTTTAAATTCTATGTACAAAAAGGCCTGTTTCACTGATGGTGTGTTCACAGAAGTGTGAATTTGGACTGCTATTATGAATTACAAAAGTAAATTTCTTTTGCTTTTACAAAAATCCCTCTTTTACATCCATAGTTGCCTGCTGATCCTCTTGTAAATGGCTGAGTTGATGTGTTGTGGGGTAATCAATGACAATGAATTTTCAATTAATATTTCAGATTGAAGTAAATATCTTTGAGCCCCAGGGTATCACTGAGCTGGAAGCAGAAGGAACATTCATCACCAATGATCTACAAAATATCATTCAAAAAACTTTCACAGATAAAAAGGTACAATGACTACTGCATTCCATAATTTATTTATTATGGTTATAATTCTGAAATGATAACATCAGTGCTAGCAATGGAGGTGAGAGGGAGAAAAAAATAGAGAAAAATGCAGTGAAGGCTTGTCTGTGCAAATGAGCTCTGAATTCCAAGCTAGCAAGTTGAAGACCACCTCCACGCAGTTCAGAAGCCACGTAGCTGTTAGCAGGGTACTGTACCCAAACTAGTAGGCCTTGTCCCACAGCAGTAGTTGGAAACCTGCGTACCAGTAAGACTTTTTCTTACAGAAGAACTGAGTCAGTAACAGTTTTCTCATGTATGGAGGTGGTAGAATTCCTAAGACGTAGACTGCCCAACAGCCTGATCAAAGGTCCCATTCAGAGCAGAGGGCTGAACCAAGGAAGGTGGGGAAGTAAACATATGAAGCAAGTTCTAGATAGCAGCCTTCGCATATCAGTTATCCATCAATAAATATATAAATACATATGGATACAAACTAATACCTAACATGGTAAAACAGGTTATTCTCATGTCTGTGTATATAAATATACTAGTTTTACAAAAATGCAAACTTTATGTTCTGTAGAAAATTTTCAGCTATTAAGGCTCTAATGAAGGCTTTTCTTTTCAGGGACTTATCTCTTTCAAGCCCACTCTTGATCAGCAGCGAACCTGTGCAACCTGCTCACAGTCTGTCTTGGATGGGGATTTTACTGTAAGGTATGATGTGAAGAGAACAACTCCAGATAATTTGCAGGTAAATCTGACAGCTGGAAATTTTGAACTGTTGAACAGCTTAGCTTGCATGGTAAAGGTGCAGTGAGGGCCAGCTACTCCCTAAAGGACAGGGAGCTGAGTGCGATGGCACAGGGCCTTCCCCAGCCACGAGCCCACTCCCTACAGTACCTGAGCATGGCAGACCCAGAGATTGTAGTCAGAGTCAGCTGAGAGTCCAGGTCATCAGGCAAGTTTGTGGTGATGAGGCAGCCCAAGGTCAAGGTGGGAAATCAGTCTGCAGGGTGGGATCCAGATCAGTGGAGTCCGTGGACAGGAGCAGGTATGGCTGTGACACAGCTGGAGACAGGTATTCTTACAGTGTAGCTCGAGCAGGGATTAAAAGCTCAGCCTTGTGCTTAAATGAAGCTCCTAGGCTCATGAGCAGAGCTGAGACTGGTTGGGGCCATTAAAGTCTATTAGTTCACTCAGAGGCTAGAGACTAAACAAAAGTAATTTCTTTTTTATCCATTTTATCTTTATAATATACAAAAGCTTTTTTTTTTTTTAACCTTTTATTTTTCAGATTGTCAATGGCTACTTTGTACACTTCTTTGCACCAACAAATCTTCCAAAGTTGCCCAAGAATGTTATTTTTGTAATAGATATTAGTGGCTCAATGTCTGGAAGAGAAATAGAACAGGTAATTTATTACATTTACTATAGCGTCCCAATGGAAAAGCCTCTTATGATGGAAGGGACATGCTGGCTTATAGTACATATGTGCTGCTTAAGCTATACCAAGTGGTTTTATGCTCAGTACTATAAGTATTAATTTTAAGCAATACTGTAGAATAAAATTCTATACATTCAGGCTATACTTACTACTTATAAATGTTATCATTTGAAAACTCTCAATATCAACATTTCCAGAGAGTTCTGTCACATATACTGGACAGTTTCAAAAGTAAAATGCGCATACAGTATTATGTGCATTATCTATGTTGTTCATTCTGTCTCCTCGGGGAAGGGGCAGGTCTTTATTAGTTGGGACAGCTCATTTTAAGTAATGCTCAGAATTTTAAGGTTTTGGTGCTGCATCAAAATATCCACGCTTGCTTCCATATGAGCTTCTCCACCAACCTGTAGCTACCCATTTCCCATCACTTTCAATTTGCCATGCCAGCTTACCTCAGTGTAAGCTACGATGCATGACGTGAGACCTGATTTTCCTCTCAGTTACAAAGAGTCACTAGATGTAATTGCAACTGGCTGACTTCACTAGAGTTGCTCTGAAATAGACGCAGGGACTGGCAAGGGCAGAACAAGCTCAGAATTTTTGCGTGACATACTGTGTAAAAGGTAAAAATACCCAAATGCTGAGAGATTAATCCTGTAAAAACTGTAAGTACCTGTTTTCTTAAATATTGAACCATGCATTTAAATTTCTTTGTCTTACAGACGAGACAGGCACTTCTAAAAATCTTAGATGACATTAAAGATGATGACTTCTTCAATTTCATCCTGTTTGGTAGTGAAGTACACACCTGGAAAGAAACATTAATCAAGGCCACTCCTGAGAATTTGGATGAAGCAAGGAAGTTTGTTCGGAGCATTGACACTGCAGGCAGTTAAGTACTTTACTGGACTTACCAATAGGTCGTTGCGTAAGTTAATTTATCAATTCAGTCTGTGAACACAATGCTACAGCTTTTTTTTTTTTTTAATTACTGCTGAGAGACTCCCAAAGTTGAAATTTATTCAGCATGACATCTATTTTTCCTTATGTTTCCAAAGTCCAGATACTTTTCTGTCTAAACATCCCCCTGCTTGCAAACCCAAATATTTCATTTTCATACTGTAATGAGCTCTTGACAGATTCCAGTGAAAAACGGGCCTTTATTTTGACTGTGCTGAAATCAGACTTCTGTCTCTACCTTGCAGTGACAAATTTACATGGTGGTGTAATGAGGGGAATTGATATGCTGAATGCTGCTCATGAAGGAAACCTTGTGCCCAAGAGAAGCGCTTCTATAATTATCATGTTAACAGATGGCCAACCAAATGTAGGTAAGTTTGTGTTGGATGGAATAATAGAGTGAATTAACTAACAAAAAAATGCTCAGTTAAAATTGGCCTCCATCTTTGACTTCTGGATGTTTTCATGATTTAAATGCTACTATACCAGCATCATACTAGTAAAGCAAGTTTTTGATAATGCCTCCTAAGAAATCCAACCATAACTAGGCACATTTCATTTTGTGATAATTTTACTGATCTATGAAGAAAACGCAACGTTTTTCTGGTTTGATGCAGGCATATCAAATACTCAGGACATTCAGGAGCATGTAAAAAAAGCCATTGAAGGAAAATATCCCTTATACAATCTGGGTTTTGGCTATGGTGTTGACTACAGCTTCTTGGAGAAGATGGCGCTGGAGAATAAAGGATTGGCACGTCGGATTTATCCTGACTCTGATGCAGCTTTACAGCTTCAGGTACAGTAATCACCACTTAAATGATACATGAATTCAGATGACTATACAGACATTCTTATTTTGAAGTAATCAAAATCCCAAAGTGTAGTCTTGTACTGAGATACTAAAGAGTCTGCTGTAATCAGAATATTAGTTGCATTTAATTTTCCCCTTCCCTTACATAAGCAGGAAGTGGAAGGACAGTAAAAGGGAGATACTGCGGGCTACAGAAGAGGGTTCAAAACTTGGCATAGGGTGACACAAGTCATGGTTCTGAAGGACACTTTGGTGTGCAGCAAAATTGCTGCAGTCGTTGTATCTCCCATACCTCACAGATCATGTAGTTAGTGTCATGTCAAGGGAAGAGAAGGATGACAGAGCATAAAGGCTCTAGATATTCTGTCTTTAAGAACTTACTGCAAGCAGGAGTATCGTACCATACTTCTGAAGCGTTTTGTAGTCATATAAGGCATGAGAACAGGTATAGGCAGTGCAGAGCTGCTCTTTTTTTACTTCTTGCATTCCAATAGCAGCCATTTGAAAAATTCACCAAAGAATTTAAATACTAGATTTCATTGCAAGCTCTGCCAAAATCAAATTCCTAGTCTCCTTTGGCTTATGTTGTCATTTCAGTCTCTGCAGGGAATAGATCTAGAAACTCATTTCTGTCAAATGGGGGGAAGCTTGGGATCCCTCTTGATGAACATTGATGGAACTCATCATCCACAGCATGTTGTTCTCAGATATTTTTCTGCTCTCTTAGTGAGACTGAGGAGTGTGTATGTCCTTTCTCATTTCCATTATTTGTAGATTTTTAGGCCTTGTACTCTGAGATTATACTGAATATTTAAATATTTCTGCTAAAATACACTTTTAGTTTTCATTGCTGAAATAGGAGGATGTTTCTGGGTACAGGTCTTCCTATGAATTAAAGAGACAATGATAGTTAAATGTTTTCCTTTTTTTTTTTTTTTTTTTTTAAATCCTGTAGGGGTTTTATGATGAGGTGTCAAATCCCATGCTCACGGATGTGGAGTTAAACTACCCAGAAAATGAAATATCAGACCTAACTAAAAACAGTTTTAAGCATTTCTATGATGGGTCAGAGATTGTGGTGGCTGGGCGCTTTATAGACAACAACCAAAACAGTTTGACTGTAGATGTGAGAGGTGAAGGCGTAAGTATGGATTTCTTTGACTGAAGTAAGGCATGCAAAATGTCTGAATGTTCAAAGCTGGCAATACTTAAAATATTTACTGGTGTTTCTTTACCTCAGCGACAGGATGTGTTACTGCATATGTAAGAAACTAAATGCGCCAAAGTCATTGCTTTTAAAACTGAAAGTTACTTGTGTAACTCAGTCAGGTATACTGGGGTCAACAGCTTTGTGCAGTGTGACTGCATTAGCTTTGCTAACAAATTTATTTTATTTTTTTTTTTTAGTTGAGTCTGTAAATATCCTACCTGGTTCTTTCAGGAGCCAAATGTTCGGTGTTCAAAGACACTATAGTCTTCACTGGGTGAAGAAAACTGATAGATAAGCCAGCTGAATATTTGAAACATCGTCCTCTTAAAATAGAAGTCTAATATGAACCAAATGATCTAGGTTCTGTAAAATTGTTTGCCCCTAATATTGAATAAACACCACACAAACATATTATAGATCATGTTACCATAAATACTGTGAACTGCATATATGCCACATGCACTGTGGTGTATTAAATATATTATATACAATTAGGTATATTTCAAATACAAATAATGTATTATTAGTAAGTTATCCAGCAGATCTGCTTCAGCATGTTCCTATATGAAATTGGTGTCATAGTCAAAGTTCTTTAAATCCTGAGTAGCCAAATTCTAATGAACAAAAATGCCATGTGAATTTGGAAACTGTGTTATGTCCTATAGTGTACACTACTGACCTTCAGAGAAGCAATGGAACAAAGATCCTCATACAACACTGACAATTTCCTGGACAAGTTCTCTGTAGGACCAGACTGCTTTTCAATTTAATAAGATTTTCAGATGTGAAGGTCTTGATTTTGGGAGGTTCTGGAAGTCCCTGGCTGCATATGATACAGAGAATTTTCCTTATTCCTAACAGGCTAAGGATGCTTTGTCATATACTACACAACAAGATGCTGAGCAAACAGCTGAAGCTTTGCAAGAACAAGAATACATATTTGGAGATTACATTGAAAGGCTCTGGGCTTACCTCACTATTGAACAACTTCTGGAAAAACGGTAATTATATCTAGAATAACATCTTCCATGAACCTGTTAAGCCGTCTGACGGGTGCTGAAATTCACATCACACTGAGGTGGCAATGGGAAAGCATTAAGAACAGTAAGGAAAATCCCCCAACCTATTCTCCTCCTCAACCTCAGTATTCCTGTTTCAGGTTACAAATTAAACAATTTTAAATTATTGCACATACAAAGCACAGTTGTGCCTTTTTCTTGGATATCCAGTGGAATCGGAAGTGCTCTTAGACTGTAACAAATATTCCTTATTCATAAATTAGCTGCAGAGAAATTACTTCATTTTAAAGAAAAATATTTAATCCTGAGTTTGGTGAATAATTTAGCAATCATTGATGCTAGGAGTTTCTACCTGTATTCAGCATTGCAGCTACAGGAGAAGAAAAGGAGAATCTTACAGCCGAAGCTCTGGATCTCTCACTAAAATACAAGTTTGTAACACCACTGACATCCATGGTGGTAACAAAGCCAGAAAACTATGACAATCAAGATGGGATTGCTGATAAACCCATTGAAGGTATAGACATTTTCACAATTTTACTGTATTTGAGAAGCCAAGTGTTACTTTGATGTTGCCCTAAAGAAAGGCTTTCGTGTGGGCACAGTTTTAATCATGTATCTGAAAAATCTGCTTTCTAAGCTTTGCACATATATGGTTTATGCAAAATTACTTTTCATTGTAAAGCTCATTTCCATCAAACCATCCTTCATTACTAAATCATACAAGCAAAATACTATAAATTCAAAATGAGTGTATTTTAAGCTAAATATATAAAATATTACGTTGAAAAACCCCAAACCAAGAAGCAGTTCTAATCTAATAATCCAGCTATATTCAGTTTCGTTCACATCGCTTTCTCCTTTATTTTTCTATGTACTTCAGCTTAGGGATAGATGTGGTAACATCTTTCTACATAGAAAGGGAAAATTTGCATGAGATCTTTCTCATGCAGGATACACCTGGTTGTTAAAAGATGGAGATTATGTCTGTAAAACACAGTAGTCATATATATTGCAGAAAGAGAAGCGATTATATTGAAAGTGCACAATTTGTTCTCAACTCCTCTGATACTTTGGCTAATCATTAACTTGGTGCTCAGTAACACACTGTACTTTCCTAGAGTTCAGCCTCTTTGTTTAACCTGTGTGAAACAAACTGACTCTGTTCCTCTTTAGCAAAGTAAGACAAATGTTATCCGCTCAGTGCACCCCAAAGCCACCCTGCCCTCATCTCTGTGCTGTTCGGGCCATCCTCATCTCTGCCACATTCAATAGGTCTGACAAATCTCTTGTGAGGCTTTTCAGTCTCTTCGATTTGCATCCATTATTTTTTCCCAAAACTTTTGCTTAGTGCCCCAAAAAGTTCCTCCCAGGCTCTGTGTGGGCTCTCTGCTGGCTTCCAGATGAAAAACTCTCAGCTCCTGAATTTGGCATGGTAACTTAAGGCAATTTAGCATAACAGAGACACTTACTGGAGGTTAGCGGGCTTTCCTTTCAACTGGAGTAAGTCCTGAAAACAATGAATTGCTAAGTGCCCTTCAATTCTAAATAATTCGTCAGGCATTCTGCTGATAAAGTTTTTGCATTATTTTTCTTACCTATCATAACGGGATACCGACATAAGAACACTTCATGTTTAATTTAACATTCAAGTCATTATACAGCTGTAAACTTTAAAGTCGCTATGCTGGACTCCGTAAGATGGAAAAACTTACCCAAACATCTGACAGAAGTGGCATCCACTCAGAGTGATCTTCAGCTCTTTGCTTTGCCTTTCCAGGTACTTGTAGTACAAAGGCCCTTTTCTGAACCTCTTCCCAAGTAAATCTGCTTTGCATATAGAAAGTATAGAGCAGTAATAGGAGAAAATACTCAAAACACCGCTGCTGTATAAGAAAAGAAAATAATTTGCACACACCCTAGAATCTAGATTCACAAATCGGATTACTGAATCATTCAGTCAGTATTAACAGAATCATGCAAACGCCTTGAAAACCACAAAAGAGTAAAACCAATAAGGAACGTTTTGCAATGTGGAAGTTGCATAACAGTAAAACAATTACTAATAGTGCTCTTGCCATATACATAACTAATTGCAGTTTTGCTGCCGCATATAACAGCTTTTTACTTTCAGTGTATTTCTGTTTGATCTACAGATACTGAGTTGTATCATTGGGAAGAAATGGAATTGTAAAATACTGAAGATACCTGGTTCAATTGTCAAAGAGTTTTAATTTTTTTTTTCTTAGAATATGTTTTAACAGGGTCAGAATCCTTCCTGTTTAGTCATACAACTGAAACTGTAAATCTCTCTTTTTTCTTCCTTTTACTTCTTACCTGCCTGTGGTAACAGCTGAAGGTATGTACATTTCTTATTAAATTTACTTAATATTTTTGTTACAGATGGATTTCCTGCATCACTCGATCTAGGATGGAATATTTTCATAAAATTCTTGGTGAATAAATCAAAACTGTATTATAAATAGATTAAAAACTTCTCAGCTGGAGTAGTTTGTAAATACCATTTTCAGTGTGGTTCCTCCTATCTCTGATAATTGCAGCATCCCACCATCACAACATTCAGGCCCAGTACAACTAAGTTGCTTTCCACTGTTGACTCCCAGATACCTGTGCGTAGCAGTCTCTTATACAGAGATGTCTTTGCTGATTCTGTGACTGCTGCTTCTTCAGCACAAAGCCCTGTCTTCAGCCACCCCTCCATAGCTTCAGATGTGAAAAGAGTAAAGACTAGAAAAATGTGGAGGCAGGTGGGTAAATCTTACTGACCTCCCAGCAGTACAATTTAGAACAAGATGGCACAGAGGAATCTGATACGAACAGGTTGTCCCGGCCCCTTACAGAGCAAACCTCATGCCTTTGGAGAAGTAACATTTTTGCTGAAAAGGCTGTCTGTTCTCAACATTTGTTTTGTTGTAATACTGAATAGTCTGTTTTGACTCAGTTTTTTAAATATTTAGACATGTATACATAATTACAAAATTTTGGAGTCGGTTTTGGTGGAAGTGGGAGAGATTGTTTTTTTTATTCTTTCTAGCCTCTGAAATAACATTTCATTTCATTCACAGCACAAGCTGTCACAGCTGTTAAGCTGGGTAAGTCATGAGTTTAAGTTTCTGAATGAAACAGCATCTATCAAAGGAAATTGACTCAGACAACTGAAATTACCAGAGAGATAAAAACTGCCTTTTCTGGGTTTACAATTGTATTTTAACAATACTGCCAAATTCTGCTCACTGCTAAAAACACACTTAAAGATTGAACAATACGAGATAAAGAAGTTTCGGCTAAATAGCTTTTAAGGAGTAAATGCCAGTTCATTAAACCACCATTTTTTCCTGAAAGCTGTTTTCCAAATACAGAGGATGGACCTGAATTTGCATCTCTGTTGGAATTATATAAAGCAAGGGACTATAATGTCAGCATCTCTGGCTAAATTAATATGTTCAGTTACTTATACAAAAAGAAACTGTTTTATTCAGGAGAGAGCCGGACAGCAACTGACCCTTCAAATTGCTGGGTGGGCAGTCTTGGAAATGGGAGAGTTAAATTTAAGTTTTTGCTCTGGAGATTAGTCTCAGTCTATCTCAATCTCTGTCTCTATAGTTTTCTCACGTCTTCATTGAAAAGAGTTAAATTCATTCTGGAAAAAAACCCAAATGTCAAAATCTCAAAAGTTTTCAATGGATGATGTTGCATTTACTTGCTGATAGACAGCTTAATCCTTAAGTCTGAGACGTTTGTGTCCTACAGATACGTTACTTGGGCCTTGTGGAAACCCTCAAAGCAATTTAGGCTACAAGAGAAATCTGTCTTTATCCTGAAGCTTTGCTTGATTCAAAAGGGGCACAAACTGTCATTCTATGGACTATATGCTTTAAAAACTAGGATGGAATTAGCAATTTACCTAGCATATTAATTTCCTGACATCTCACATCTGCAGTGCAGATAGTGTGTAAATATTCCATTTTAATGTGAATTTTTCTCATTTTTTTTTCTCTCTGTTTACTCTCTGCAGCTCCACAACTACATTACTTACTCACAGCACAACCCACGTGGCATACTCTTGGTGAGTAATTTGAGTAGAGTCTGCTTAGGAGAACAGAAGAGAGTATTTAAGACCAAATCGCACAATTCTTATGACTCTCTTAGATAATGCCCTTCCACAAAAGCAGTGATTTTTTATTTCCAAGGGGCTAGCATTTTAATTGACTTTAAAAATCTCTAAATATTTTTTTTTAAAGATTAAGTCACTGAGATTGTATATGGTCATTTTCTTAGTCCTCCTTCCCACTGTCAGGCTTTGTGCTGGTAGCTGCCCGTTCTCTATTCAAGCGAGCTTCCTGCCCTCACTAGTACGTTCATGGCCCTCAGAGATAAGCACTTAGAAGTGGCCATCCTGAACCTACAATCGATGTGCCACATTTTGCAGTGCTCAAAAGAGACACAGGATATATGCCACGTACCTGGGAAATATGATGGGAAAAGCAACTTAGTTCACTTTGGGGAGATGGTAGCAGCTTCCTTGGGACTCCGCCACTCCTTTGGAGGATGGGTGGGACTAAGCTGGCCATATAGCTGGGCTGGGACCGGTTCCTGCTGGTCCCCAGCATCAGCAGTTCCACTGCCATAGCATTAAACATTCATGCAGCACTTTGAACCTGTGTATCACTGTACAAATACTAGTGATTTGCCTTTGCAGTTGATGGAGATCCACACTTCGTTATATCAGTGCCACAAAAAGATGATGCTATTTGTTTCAATATCAATGAAAACCCAGGTGCTGTGTTAAATTTAATAAATGACCCAGTTACAGGTGAGCTTTTAATTTTTTAAAATACAGTAAATCAGGATACTTAAAATGCCTTATGTTTAAAGACTATTTCTCTCTTTAATACTGTGTAAGCTTTTTTTCCCAGCAGAGTTAGTAGGATTTACTGTTGCTGTGATAGGGTACCATTACTGTGACTGTGTTTTCACTTCTCGGAGCAAAATGAACTTTTCAACTTTGTTTGAAAACCACTGTGAGAGTTGAGAGACATAATTTGTCTCAGTGAGTAGTAGTACAGCAATAAAAGAATCCTTAGGTTGCCGTTTCATGGAAAACCTGGTAAAGAGAGACCGATGTCACGCAGGCTATGTGCGCCCATCACAGACTCTTTGTGCTCTAGGAAGTATTAAACTTTTCTCAAGAAAGTGATTGTTGTCTCTGTGGAAATCCACAGAACAGCCCCCAGAGCTTTATTCTACTTTGGCAGAAACGTGCACAAGTAATTCTGATCTATTTTTCAACTCATATTTGTTTTCTTGAGTTGTTGTTAAATTTCTGTGACACTCCTTGACATTGATCAGGTCCTATCTATAAAACAATACTTGATGTTTCCTTTTTATGTTAGGCATCACAGTCAACGGAGAACTCATTGGTGATAAGAGAGCAAATAGTGATGCAAAGATCCAAAACACGTATTTTGGAAAACTTGGCATTGCGAATAAGCATCTGGATTTAAAACTGACAGTAACTCCTGAGAGGATCACAATTCAGAATGGCAATGAAAAAACAGGTTTGACCTGGCTTGATACAGTCACCTTGCAACAAGAAGGGTAAGGCTCACAGAAATAATATCAGGCTCCTGTATTACTTTCTACACTTTTTTAGTGCTGATCAATAATATACTTTTAAGATTTGTTGTCTGAATATACAAAAGAAACTGATTCAAGTCCTGCTGGATTCTGCAGGATTTTGTCGTGTAACTGCTGAATGATTATTCATAAATACCTCTGCTTGGAATAAGTAAGTGAAGAATTTTCTGTTTTGTGAAGGATTTTCTATTACTGTGAGTAAGGTAGAACTAGATTTAGTATTGTGCTTAATGCAACAGTGTCTTGCAAATACTTAAAGAGTAACTTTAGACATAGTGTGTAATCCTTCAAACAAAGACATAATAATGTGCTGTAAACAATCTCCATTTAAAAAAAATGGAAATTGGGATACTTATAGAATAGGTATATTTTGCCCTGTCAGCAGGTGTCTTTTTTTGTGAGATTTATCTATTACAGAATCATTTGTACCTGTGCAAAGGGAAGTTTAAGAAAAAGAATGGGCAGCAGCTCCTCCTCCTCATTTACATTGTCATTGTGTGCCTGGAACAAAATGGCTACCTTCTCAAAGCATGGCACTGCAACAGAAAGAGCACCAGAGCAAAACCATTATTCATACAACATACTTAATTTTTTTTTTTATTATGACAACCACATTGATGATATCACTAACACAATCAGAAGTAAATCTTCTTTATCCTAGCCCTGACCTAGACAGTTCAGGACTTGTCTTTTCTAAAAAACAAAAGGGAAAGGTGCCAGGTAGCATCCAGGCAAAGGAAGCGATGGTTTTATCAATAACATTTTTATTACCAAGCGTGAGGTGCTCTATCTACATATCTACTAAGCCATCTGTGACTAATTGTGCTGTTAGAGGACAAGGTTTGGTAGAAACGTCTTGCTGAAAAGTTTAAAGGCTAGGTAGCCTTTTACTGTGTGATTTAGTGAGTCTTGGACTGTCAGTGAACACACAGATTCTCACGGACCAAAGTAGGCAGGAAAACTTCTATTTTAAAAAACACTGAGCAATTTATAAAGCCATGTTTGTTCGTTTGTTAAACATATTTCTTCTTCTCAAGTTTCTTCTCATTGCTATTAAGTCTGGGAAGCACAATGTCCTAAGTCAAGTTTTTCTTTCTTCCTCAGTTTAACTTTGATAATTAACAGGAAAAAAAATCTAGTGCTCAAAATGAGCAGTGGTACTTCATTTGTTATTGTTTTGCACCAAGTATGGAAGGAACATCCTCTCCACCAAGATTTCCTAGGACTGTATACATTGGAAAGTGATAAACTGTCTGAACAGACCCATGGATTATTAGGTATGACTTCATTTAGTGTTTTCATGCTTGTCTTTCCTTGAGGCTATATAATTTGTAGACCCAATCTTGTACTCGGCCTTTCTGAACTGAGATAGTGGAAGAAACTGAAGTGACATTGATTTGCTGTAATAAGATTTCTGAGAAAATATTCTGGGCTCAGACTTTATGCATTATCTTTTCTTAAATTCCTCTGCTGCTGCTGAAATCACTACCATCCATTGTGCTCACTGGCATCTTTAAACCTCTTTATCTTCCTAAATCCCACTACAGATTTTTTGTTTTTCTTGCTCCACTTTTCCTTCATCCTCTTGGATAGTTTGATCTCTCTTTTCATCTTCATCACCTTTCTCCTAATTACAAGCACTCTGGGAAAATACATGTATTTGCTCAGTCAAAATTTGCCAAACCTCAGTTAAGGCATCCTTGTAAGAAAAGAAGTTTTTAAGGTATATAAGATGTATCTTGATTTTTCTAGCATATATTAAAATCACAGAATGCCTTGTATCATCTAAGATTTTCCTCATGTTACCTAACATTCTTTGTTCTAGTAAAAAGCGAAGTTGGTAATTCAGGGATCAAAATTCTGACCCCATTGAATCTTGTTTTCTGCCAGTGTAGTGAGTTTGGTGGTGTGCATTCTCTGTTGGAAAATACAGATATTGCAGCCGTTTTCCCTTGCCTTCCAGTTTTCATTTACAAAATCAGATAAGGGCAGCAAACATTCATTTTGGGTCAGTAAGTTTACTCATTGTGGAAAATAATGAACTTAGTCTTCTCAGTCTTGGTACACACTTTGAGGCCTGAGGAGAGTGAGCCAAGGTATCAGTGGTAGCACACGTTAGGTCCATACATCATGGGAAATGCTGTAATAAAACAGAAAAAGAGCAGAATAAGGATGGAATGTTATTTATGCTTTCCTGCTCCAGTCTCCTCAGGCTAAAGGACTTCTCTACACAGAAGTTATTCTGCTATGGTATGAATTGTAAGTAGGAAGAAAATTGCAAAAGCCCAGGTGACGTGTGGGTACGCCATATTACAAGTTCACTGACTTACGCATTGCTATTTTCATCATCTTTGACTTTGCCTCTGTACTTCACTAAATAGTCTAAAATCTGTGCTCATGAGAGCACTCAAAGCACCAGCCCAGACAGGGCAAAAGCGTGTGAAAGCTAATCCTGGCAGGAGTGTGAAAATTCCTTAGATGTCAGCCTTGTTCTGAGCATAGTCACATCCAAAAATTGCAGAGCACAACACATGCATTATGTGATTAAAAAAAAAAGCTAAAGACTTGGAGACGATGTAATAAATACAACTGAATAGACAAGACACAAAGCAAGGATAACTTGAAGATATCTAGAAAAGACTCATTTTACTGTGCATTCAGAAGTTGGAACTTACATGCAGATGATATGCAGAGAATTCTGGTTTATAAAAAGTAAATAATACCATAGACGTATGTTCAGCCTTGCACGAAATTTGGTGTTTGCTTATCCATTGAAAGCCCTGAGAGGACGTGGAAAACAGCATGGGAACGTAGAAGCTCTGGGGTTTCTGTTTGGTTTGTTTCTGGTTTAATATGTGCAACGTGCCTGAAATGGTTATTTTTGCTTCAATTTTTAGGGCAGTTTTTCCACACCATTGACTTCACCATACTTGAAATTCATCCTGGGTCTGATCCCAAGAAACCGGATGCCACGATGATTGTTAAAAACAACGAGCTTAGAGTAACAAGGTACAAAATAATTAAGTCTTTACCAAAGACTTAGGAAAGATTACCTCGTCAAAGTGCAGTTTCTGCTTTGATACTTCCATGCCTGTGTTTTCCCTTTCAGGGGCTGGCAGAAGGATTACAGAAGGGATCCTAAGCACGGCGTTGACATTCCTTGCTGGTTTGTTCATAACAATGGAGCTGGGCTGATAGATGGTGTTCATACGGACTATATTGTTTCCAGTCTGTTTTAAACAACTACAACTTCCTCCAAATTCATGGGTATACAGAATATTTGTCTGAAAGAATAGTATTTTTCAGTGTTTAAGTGTTAAAAATACATAAGCTTACAGTGTTTGGCAAAGCCAAGATGTGATGGATTCTCAGAGTTTTACTACATATTTGATCAAATCTTAAGTGCTAAACAGCTGTTCTGCTTGTGTGCACGGATTACCGCTCATCCCCCAAAATATCCTCATTTTACTGACTTAATTTACTAGTTTTCAAATTCTGACTTAAAATGTTACTTTGTAAAACATAACAGAAACATTCTATCCAATTTTAAATCAATAAAAGCATCAATACTTAATAGCTTGTTCTGTTATTCCAACAGCTAGCAATGTTTCATTCCGGTTTCCCACACCCAGGATGCCAGATGCATTTTGAAGTTCAGCGCGAGAGGCCAGCTGATGGAGCAGCACGTAGTTCAGGATAATTCAGTAGCACTTCTAACCATCCGACATCTTGTCTGTAGAGTGCCGAGGGCTGGTGCAGTGCTATCGCTCGAGGTGACTGTTAACATCCAGGACTTCTTCATTTTCATATTCTAATTTGAACTTAACTTTTGCATCTCCATATCTTTATAAATTAATGAAATACCACAGTTCCAAACAGCATTCAGATTTAAGTAACAGCAGCAATCTTTTGGACAGTATCTTTTTTGTGTAAGAGCCTTACCATCTTCCAGTAAAATTCCTTCCTCTGTTCCCATAACAGAATTTATGTACGTACTTCATGGAAAGAAGTGTCCCATTTATTTATATATTCATTTTGTACTGGAAGAAATTGTAAGCTATTAGTTCTACAGCAAAAAATAAGTAGATTTCTTATTTACTTCAAGTTTTCTTTTAATCAGATCAGCCATAGCAAAGCACTTGTGGTCTCACATGGCAAAGTAGAAAATCTCCCTACTGTTACACGACAAGGAGAGAAAGTCAGCATGTGGGGAACTAGAATGAACGCACAGCTGAGGGAAAAGGAGTGTCATGGGAAAAACAGAGATGACTTAAGATGTGATGGATTAAATTGAAAGAACAAAGGTAGAGGTGAACAAAAATACACCAGAAAAAAGATCAAAAGAGGAAAAAAAATAGCGGAAAAATACATTTACTGTTATATTTATGGGAGAGACAGGCCTTCTCCAGGAATGAAATCCTTTACTAAAAGCAGAAGTTCTGTAGAATAAAAAACACCAATTCTTGGTGTGTCACAGTAGCTAGTTATCTCTGCCTGCTTAATTCAGACAAAAACAATGAAATAAAACAGTAGTTTCTACAAAAGGTAATAAGTTAGTGAAAAACAAGGAAGGGAGGGAGGGAAACAGGAGGGAGCGAGAGAAGACCAGAAAATTGAAACTAGTAAGGTTAATTTACATAGTTCTGAATTTTTATTGGAAGATAATGAATGAGATTGAATGAAATAAAGGAAAGCAATGATCCATTTTGGATCCTGAAACAGGAGCTGTGGGAGTGCCCGTCAGGGCCAGTCCCATACTCACTTGCTCCATTCAAACGAAAACCCGCAGCAGTGGATGGCAGATCTCGACCTACCTGGCTGGCAAAGTTTAGGCAGCAGGCAATGCTGGGCAGAGCTCAGCCAGAGCGTTCCCATTTGATTTGTGGGATGAGGCAAATCTCCGGAGGTGGCAGGAGTCTCATCAGAAGTTGACCTCAGGGGCTCTAGTCTGCTTTGGTGTGGCTTCTGTGGCAGCCTGAGAAACTCCCTCTTACGCTGGTGGAGACGGAAGAAAAATCCCCTTTTTAATATGCAGTTCTTCCAAGATTCCTGCAGCAGAGGAGAAAACTGCAAACGTAGCTAAAGGTGACAGTAGGGGGAGAGAGAAGTGGCAGACAGATGCTTACCATTAGATAAAAATTTTACTCCTACCACCAACTGGTACAATGCTGGTTAAAAGAGAAGCGCGTGAGATACACAGTGTATTCTGCATCGGAATTAGAAATTACAGAATTCATTGCTGTGTCTGCCTTCACCTTCTTGAGCAATGGAAGGGAGCGCAGGAAATCAGAAGCCCATCAGAACCCACTTAGGGGCTTGGAAAGGCCAGGAAGGAGAAGAGTGGCTCAACAACAAATAAAGACACAATTCAAGTGAGAAAGAGCGAAATGGAACATACTTACGGAGTGGAAAGCACATGTGCAGAGGGGAAGCAGCACCGCGGGAAGGATTTGGGAGTCATCGTAACTGCAGCGACGTAGGGCTGCTGCAGAACAGACAGACGTCCCTGTGGGCACAGCAGTTCTTTGCAGACCTGAGAGGCTGCATCAGCCGGGGGTGGCCGCAGGTGTAGTCGGTCCCCTGGCAGCTCTGGGCACAGCATCTCAACGCAGCATAAGCAAATTGGATGCAGTCCAGAGGATAGGAACAGCTTTGCAGAGAAGTGGTAGGAAGCGGGGAGGGAATGACACCCAACTGTATAAAAAGTTACTGTGAGGAAGGCCAACATCTGGGGGTTTTTTTTCACATCTATCGAGGTTTGCAGGATCTGCTCCTTTGCAGCAAGGAAGAATTGCATTAAAAGGGCATCAGGCTGCCTTGGGGCGTTTGGGGAACCACCAGCACTGCAGGTTTCAGCAGATGGGTTAGAAGAGTGGCTCTCAATGGTCTGCACACGCTTGAGCCTCACTTAGAGCAGGGGGCATGGGGTGAGAGCTACTCACCAGCCGTGCCTGGCTGCTCCCCCTTTTGGAGCTATTTGCTGTTCCCGCAGGTAGCAGGCAGGTGCAAGAGGCCACGCGTAGACACTCCATAACTCAAAGCAGGGAATTTTTAACTTGCATAAGTCTGCTGATAAAACCTGGCGTCACCAGCATGTAAGTCAAACACCAAGTTCATTTATAATGGAAATAATCTCCTGCTTTTCAAGTGGGTAAGCCTGTTTATGATGTGGTGAAGCAAGCAAGATGGTGTGTCCAGTTTCCAAATTACACATTGTCTGTCATGTAATTTGTCCAGCCAAATCCGCATCTTAGAAGTACAAGCAATTCACACAAACGTGTCTTGGTATCGTGTCTACACAGTTCTTTTAAAAAACAGGCTTCTGATTACATAATTTGCTTTATCTTACTGACTTAGGCAAGAAATTGCTTCTCTTTCAGTACATTGTTTTAAAATAATAAGATTTTCCCAGTTATATATTACTAGCAGGATAGAAAGCAACTTTTGTTAAATCTTCTACAATGCTGGCATATTTTTAGCTTCAAAGATACACAGGAACTGAAATTCTAAAAGACAAAATAACTTTGGAATTAAAATTTGTGAAAAAAACCTGAAGACCAAAACTATGACTTCCATTCCAGGGGCAGAGGCTTCTGTGCATACGATTCCTCTGAAGTGTCACCTCCATGCACCACATGTTGTTTTGAGTTCTTCCTTATTTGTAAAACATCTGCCAATGTTTACAAAATGTTGTATGAAATGGTGCCAAAAAAACCTGCTAAATTTCAGGGTTGCAGTGCTGTCTTTTGCAGGAAGTCAATGCCTGTTTTGCAGATGTTTTAAGAGCAGAGCCTCGGAAACTTTGCAACAAGGAACAGGACTGCAGCCAGCGGGGGCTGCCACTTCCACTCATGGTCCTACTGCCCATTTCATCAGCTATGGGCGTTGTTACAGAACCATTTCCAAAGAACCCTAATTCAGCAAGGCTGCTTTTTTCCATAAAATAAAAAATGAGAGAAACGGTAAACTAATACTGCTTTCAACTTCATACTCGTTTTACAAAACATACACTTCAAGAACACCATCATTTGTAACTGGGTAGAGAGCGTATATTGTAGAAATCTATTACTGTGCGCACAAGATGTTTGTTGGACTGGGTGATGCCAATATTTATTTTTATTCGTGTGTCCATATCAAACTGTGAGCTGTTAAGGCCAATTTTATTTAGTTCATTCACATAAATCTTCAACAACATAACCACACTGAGTATTAGCAACCATTTTAAAAAAACAAACAACAAGCAAGCACATTCTCATCTTGAAAGTGTAATTATTTTGAGGTAAAGTATTTGTGACATTTAGATACAGTAGCAGATAAAGCTTTAACTGTCTGGTTTTCTTGATGAAAGTATCAAAACTATTTGGAAGAGCATCGTTTGCATAGTTTTCTTTCCCAGAATACTCTTTTCTAGGGAGTTACATCTATTGACCAGCAGGAAACAGGATCACTGGTTGACTCAAGCCTGTAATCTTTCTTGTATTGCCTGAAACAAAACCAAAACAACAAAAATATGCATGATAGAAGAACCAAGGGGCAGGCCCAGGATTGACCTTATATTTGGTACCAGGAGTCAGAGGGACTGCGCGTGGGCAGAGCTGGCACCTCTCTACTCCCAGAGCTGGAGGCAGCGGCCATGGGGACACACCGGGACAGTGAGCAGAAGCCGCACACCCACGGCAGTTCTGCCACATCACAAACACTTACTAAAAGCAACTGAAGTTGAATATTTCTTGTGGTAAATCCAACTGAGGAAACCCCTCCCTTATCCATGCAGAACCTTACTTTATTTGGCATTTTTATGCAAACCGTAGCCCCAGGGTACGAGTTCCCCTCCCAACAAAATAGAAGCCCTGAGCCCTGTAGGATCACTTGACAAGCAACAAATTCAGGCTCTTAGGGAAAAATTCAAGCACAAGTTCCTATTATTTACACCAAAGAGGTGTATTCTTACAGACAAACACTCCCTTAGTTTAATTTCTGTTGATCTCTGATATTAGCTGACAAAATACTTCTCAAAGCTTGTACATCACACCCCCTTATCCCATATCTGTTACCTGGTAACTTTGTGCTCAGATCCTGACACGCTTAGGAGTCTTTCGTCACCTCTCTGATTGATGTTGGAATTATTCTCAAATTGTGCTTGTGAATAAAATTGACCTAAGCAACAGACACACAAATGATTCAAAAATGCAAACCATCGGAGTTTGTTGTTCACTTAACCCAAACAGCAGCTCTAACACCAGGAAAGCAGCCACCTGCCTCAGAAAGCAAGCAAGCAAACAAGCACATTTGGAAGCTCCCTTAGTAAGTGAAGAGAATTCCATGTTTCAGCTGTGATCTCCTGTTATCCCTCATGCTCCTCCAGTGTGAGTCTTGCTCTGATGGGTTTTCGCTTTTTTGTTTGTTTTTCACGGTTTTAGAATATGCAGCATCTTTGTTTGCAAAGTTTTCGAAACAACTTCAACTTTAGTCCCATCAGGATTTTTGGAGCTGAGATGTTCAGGACCAGCTGGTTTTCATTTTGTAACCCTGATTGTTTACAATTTTATGTCCATTATTTATAGTCCATTATTTGCCATCAAATGAATTTGCTGCATAAATCATGTCATTCCACAGCACTGTTGAGGTTAAGCCCAACTATTATTTTAGTCTCATTTTAACATTTTCTAAACCCATAATAGTCTATTTAGCATTATACCACTGGTGAGTGGAAGAGCATTATGTTCCATTTCCAGGGTAAGACCTCCCCTCTTCATGCAGTAGGGGCTGGATTGCTGTGCAGTAAAAGGTGATGTTAGATGGCTGGAAATAAGAAATTAAGTGTAAAGTTTCTCCAGAACCCTCTGAATTATAGCTTTCCTGCTGCCGTGCCTGCCCAGTGACTCTCATGAGAGCTTGTCAGGACCCAAGGAAATAAAATCTGAATTGAGCGTTTATGATGCGGCTGAAAAAACCCTCCACCATATTCTCCCTGCAGGAGCTTAGTTCCAAGATCACCCTTCTTTGCTGCATACATCCGTAATGATACATACCCAGAATTCCACTGACTTTGTCAGAGAAACGGTCGGTGTTCAAGAAATACAGCCCAAGGAAACCATCTGGAAACTTTACAAAGGAAACTTTTACAGTGACTGTATCAGACAACGATGCTGTAACACTCCTTTCCTTTTCAACTGAGACTCTCAGCCTAGGAAGTAAATTATGATGTTATTTCCAAGAAGAATATGAAGACAGAATATTTATTTAACTACCTGACATATTAATTGATGAAAAGAATTTAATTTTTGCCTTTTATCTCTTTGCAATTGCATTTTTCATGATCTGTTGGTGGTTATTTTTAAGGTAGAAAATATCAAGCAGCTTATCTTTTCTCTCTACGCTACACATCAGATATTTCCCTTATCAGATTACATGCAAATACACCAACAGAGAACAACTTTTTTCTGATGAAAACATCTTATTATCCATAATGACAAGAAATGATTGGATGGGTAAAAAAGAATATTTTTTTGCCATTTTAATGACAAAAAAGATAGATGAGATAAAATAATTCAATCTATTTTATGAACAAGTCAAATACTTTTTTTGTGGATATTTCACAAGTTTTTTCAAACCATGCCTTTCTTCTAACCCATTAATTTTATTTCGGGCCCAGGTGTGGGCTTGCAGAACACAAACATCCAGTGTCATTTTTCTCCCTTGCAGATGAGGTTTGACAAACACACACCCACATGCACTGGTGTACAATGTGCCGCGGCTGCAAGGGCTCAGGGGCTAGTTTGAAGCGGGAGGATCATTCCACTTGGCAGATGATGAATTATAGAGGGGCATAAATCCAGCACGTTCTCGGCTCTGTTTGGATTACAAAACTAATTGAAAGCAGTTGGTTTAGAACTTCTGTTATTGTGTAGAGTTGCCTATAAGGGAGGGAGTGCTGTGTGTCCTTTCCGCCCCAGACCAACAGCAGGCCCTCGCGGAGGTTTATTCCAGCTACATTCAGCTCTTTCTTGGGGTAGGGGGGCATCCTGCTCTAATTAGTCCGACAAATGAAGTCTACATTTACGGTACTCTTTCTCCAACAGCAGGCATTTAGTTACAGACAGCTATTCAAACACTTTATGCCTTCCCATAAAAAATGGCAGCTGCCTAGAAGTGAGTTATTGCTAAAACTGAGGAGAAAGAGAACTTCAGCCTGTGTGGAGCCAACGGATGTATAAAAGAGACAGTAAATGTCAAAGCCATCACTTCGCAGTACTCGCTCTGCGGTTAGAGAACACAAAGTGCCTGGTGGCAGCCAGCATGGTGGTGGCACAGGGGCTGCCACGTGCCGCAGCGGGTCCTTTTCTTTGGAAGATAAACGTTCTGCCTCTGATGCCGAAGCAGAAAGGCAGGCTGGTGGTGCAGTTGTTTGATTCTCTTACACAGGCATGGAGAATGAAAATCAAACCGTTTTTCTCTCTGTATTTGAAATGGGGGATTGTGAAGGTACCCTGCTTCTGCTCACATTGTTACTCACCAGATAAGGACACTTGGAAGCATTTACTTGAAGCAAATGTGAAAGTGGAGGCCTGGATGCAAAAAGCTCTGACTCACATTTTCAAGTTTGGGAAAGAACAGGGAGACGTTTCTTACCCCTGGATGGTGGAGGTGGCTGACTTCGTCCACGGCAGCTGAGAGCTCTCGTTATTGTGGCTTAGGACAATCTCACCCGTGGAGACGTGGATTCGTGCAGGGGGATTCACATAGGTAATTTCAAACTGCACAAAGTGATTTATTCTGTCCCCGAGCTTCCCCATCACAGTGAGTCCTTTAATAACATTGACACCAATTTGTAAAGCGATGTGCTTTTAAGGTACAAGTGATCTTAATACAACTGCTTCAGCTTTGGTGCTGAAACAACTTAGACCAAAGTGACTCTCCTTGTGCTTGGTATCAGGGGTAACTGGGCTCACTCACCTTGCTCTGGATCTGACAGCAGGTGGACAGAAGGCTGTGCTTTTCCATCAGTATTTAAACAGATTATTTCATTTTGTTTGGGTAATTGCAAGAGGAGCTGTGGATATTCGTTGGCTGAAAAGCCAGAAGAACAATGTTAGCATGCAAAGAAAAAAACCTAGCCTGTGCTCTGTGGATAGGCACAGCAAAATTACTTAATTTATACCTAAAATATTAGGTTTAGCTTTTATAGATTAGAATGATTAAAATCAACACAGTAATAATTATTGAAAAGTACACCCAGACATAGCATTTTGATACAAATGAAAACAACAGATTTTTAAACTTAGAGTCTATTAAGGACAATAAGTTCTTAAAAAAGCTGAGGCTGAAGATCTGTTATACTACTTTTCTGCTGGTGGTTATATCCTCAAGCCAGAGAGGCTTTCTCATGGGATACAGGGATATTTTTCACTTGTGTGGAAAGAACCTGCTAAGGTTTGCAAGAAGAGGTAAAGGGTTTCCTTAGACCAATTGATACAGTCAGAAAAAATATCGTGTGAAAAACTGTACATTATAGTTACATTAATTATTAAAATGGGACTAGTATATTACTTACCAAGAGGTTGAGCTCTTATTTTGTCTCTTAACCTGACAACTGAAATACTTCAAATTAGTAAGAAGAGTTTAAAGAAACATTTTCTCTAAGACAGCTAATTAACCAGGAAGAATACTGTGACAAAAGCCTTTTTAGCAGAGTTCTTCACTGGCTTCTATGGAGAGCTTTGCTTAAAACAAGATGTCCCAATGGGGAAGCAAAGCACAATGCCCAGTGCCTATTTCTCTTAGGACTGACCGTGCCACCACGGCATGCTCAACCTGTGCTGCGGGAGGGCTTAGAGCTGCATTTTCAACAGCCACTATGCAGCACCAAACCCCGCATGCCCACCCCAGCTCCTCTCGCACGCGACCGTGAATAACTACCTACTGACGACAGCTTCTTGTTGCTGCCAGACTGGGGCTCAGAGCGCCATCGACCTGAAAGAAAAGGTTTTTCCAATGTTTTGTTGGTTTGAGGTCATGCCTTGCATCTCCCTCCCCAGCATTTAAAACAGGGAATTCCTCTCGCTTATTGCCCACTGACTTTTTTGGATACACCCACGAGCGCACATGTGCGGATCCTGTGCAGGCAGCAGCCAGTGCCTCCTCTGCTCTGCTCTAGGGGAGCTGGTGGTGATGCTGAGCTCTGCTGCTGCAGCGCCCTGGGATGTCCTCCATGCAGGACAGGTGTTGTCATCGTGCAGATAGCTGTGCCCCACATAGGCTTCACACAGCAAACCCCAGGACTGGTAAATTTTTTTAATTTGTTTTTACATCCATTTCCTTCAGCTTACTAATATATGCTTTTCCAGATCTTTCATGTTTATTTTCAGGAGGTATAATACTTTTTTTATTTCTGAAAAGGGACCAAGATTGTTTTCAAAAGTTTATACTTCATTATAAAATATCTGTGGACTGAAATACATATAATAAGAACTAAATTGTTTATCAAGTGAGCATCCACAATCAAAATGTATTTATTAAAGTAATGTTGCTACGAACCTACTTATGAAGTGAACTTTATAAAATTATTCTGAATAAAAACAAAGGAGGAGCACTTACCAGGAGGTGATCCACTCCTCAGTCTGTAAGCATCTGGAGAAAGAAAAGAGAGTATCTATTTTAGTCATGATTGTATCGTGGCTCTTCACCTATAAAAGCATTGCTATCATAGCTGGGATTATCAGATTAATAATGCTGGAAGTTTAAAATTAATATTCAAACAGATCTATTATTTTCAGAAAGAGAGAAAAAAATACTTAAATCATCCTCAGAAGTCATTCCAAAATATCTTGAGCTTAATTTTTTGGCAGATGCTTCGCACATGGTAGGAAGAAGCAGAAAACATCATTAGCACCATTCACTTGAACAACTGTTCCTCACGAGTAAAGACAACTTCGGCCTTGAAGACTTTCTGAACGGAAGATTTTCTCCCTTTGACCATGTTATCCACCCAAACCCTACACAGACCTTGGCAGTCATTGCTTATGTTTTGCTTCACATATTTTTCCAAATCTCAGATACTTCCCTCTCTAGAACAACGATCATGAGGGGGTTTTTTGCCCCCTCCCCCCCTCAGAAATTATTATGGAAATATGCATCTGAAAAAGAAGAAAACATTTACCTCCTGTTGGAAAACTGCTGAGCTTCTCATTATCTAACACAAGAAAGAAGGACAGATTAGTGTCATGCAGTTGACACTAAATGACTTTACCCATGTGCAGACCAGAAAACTGGGACAAGTGAGTGTTGGACATCAGGTGATGAGCTTTTTTGTCTTAAAGGATAGGTAGATAGAGCACATGCAAGACTCCTAGCGATGGCGTGCTTCCCTCCCCTGCATTTATTTTTCCACTTCAGTGCTACAAAGTGCAGAATCCCTTTGCAATGGCAAGAATGCTGAGTAACAATTGTGAACTTACTTTTAGTTAATAATTAAACAAATTATTTTCCATTTCAATAGTAGTGCCCATTTCACCACTTCACCTTTTAAAAAAAATCCTGTATGTTTTATTTTGAAAGGAAGCTAATCCCTGAGCTCCTGCCTCCGATGTGGCTTATTCCCATGTCACATCACTATAAAATCAGCCTATACTGGAGGTCGTCAACAAATTATCAATAACAGCAGCATATTTCGGGGGGGGGGGGGGAGGGGGGTTTGTTCAATGCCCCTTTTACCAGCTTCGGTGGGTTTGTTCGCCAGTTCCGTCTGCTGCTGGCCAGCGGGTTTGGTGACCACCATTGAGGTGAGGGGCGTAACGAAGCTGAAACGCAGAGACAGCTCTAAGGCTTGCGCCTCCAGGGTTTTCTGCTCCTCTTCTTGTGCTGAAATACTAAAGTCTGTGTTAATGATGAAGAAATGAGGTGTAGAGACTATGAGCAGGTGGTCTTCAGATTCTTTTTCATATTAGCTGTGTCGTAACAGATATTTTTTATTATTGAAGGGTGAGTAGTCTTATTAGGATAACTCAGCTGTTCACATGCTTGAAATTATGGAGAAGTTTCATTATTTGCAACACTGCAGTTTATGTATGGTTCAAACAGATAAAAATAATAGATATATGAACCATGAAATGTCTTATGGACATATTGTTCTCTTTACTAGCTATTGCCATTCACTTATCTACAGACAATAGTTCTAGATGTGTAACAGCAGCTCAACACAATCCATTGCAACTAAAATCTATTTCATAGTAATGTCATGAAGAATATTTTATATTATGTTTTCATATGTGTGTATACATATATACACACACACTTAATGATACAGTGCTATCATAAACTGAAAGGCACCTCATGTTCCTCATACAGTAATCTAGTATTCTTCCAGTATACTATGTCTTTAATACTATCTGAAGAAATATTTCTGTTTCTTTGTGTTTTCCCATCATATGATTTGTGAATAAGGAATTTGTGTTTGAAGAATTTAGAAATTTGTAATATGAAACATTAAAATAGCTTACGATTTTTCCAGAAGCTGTTGAATGGTTAAGTAAGCCCACAGTCTCTCTATGAAATTTCCAAAGATGTAACTTTGATTTTGAAATACTTGCTCCTTCTCTTTGACATTTGCTTCTTCTTTAAGAGTCAAGTCACTAGCATGCTGAAGTGGGAGAAAACTGACAATCAAAAGAACAATTCCAGATTTCTTTTATAGTCACACTATTATGAACATCTTTCAGTATCAAAGTGCCCTTTTTGTGATTCAATTTTGTCCTTTCCCGTTGGAAAAAACTACCAAAGCAGCATGTATTTTGAATATATATTTCTGGACTTGAAACAATGTTGAAAAAAGGAAGTAATGAAACTGTTCTATTTCAACATTTTTGAGACAACTAATTCAGATTTCCGTCTTCATTCTAAAAATACAAACTAGTTTCCTAAAGATGCTTGAAAGACCAAAATATTATGGTCTTGAAAGGATTAAAATTGCTGTTTGCTTATTTGTGGATATACTTCAAGGTTTTTCTTTTGTGGCAAATTCAGGGGAGGAAAATTATTTGAATTCTCAAATATTTTTCTAAAACGGGAACACAGCTGTATGCCCAAATGTAGAGAACATATATGGCACACAAAAGACTTCCTAAAGTCTCCTATTGCACCATAAAAGACAGAAGGGAGATATGTTTTTCACAGTTAGAAAACTAAACACTTACTGACTGAGCTTTAATTTCTACTGGCAAAAGATCAAGCTCATTGCTAATTTTTCCAGATACTATAATTTCAGATCCTTCAAAAAACAGCCTGAAATTGTTCTTGGTTAATCCCTCAACGGCATTTTCTGGATACTGCATTTCAATTTTCATTAATATTGGGGTAGCCACCTCTTGATAAAAGCCCTAAAGAAAAGAGAGAGAGCGTGCACAAGTGACTGCAAAAAAATTCAAAGCAATACATTGAATGTCTAAAAACCCCCTTAAAAAGAAAGAAGCAAAGCTTTTTCTTCAGCAGTGTAAGATTGCTGCAAACCTAGGAAAAAAAAATAAAATAAAATGTTTCCTCCCAGGGTTCAGCACATCTTCTCCAGCCAGGCTGGCGATGCCATATAAACTGTATTTCCCACGGTAATTCAAGTACCCAAGCAGCATCCCCATTATCACCATCCCACCCAGTTAGGTGTTTAGCTTTAGACACTTTTCATATATAATTTTTTTAAACTCGACTAATCCTAAGGATTAATCTTTCTTTTTCTGAACTGAAGCAAATCCAGTCTCTGCACATCGCCAAAACAGGTTGAAGTGGCTTCCCAAAAACCAGAATGTCCCAAAAGTTATAACCCCTCTGCAGACGGACAGGAAAGACCCAGGCTGGTGGTATTGCAGAGCCAGTTTGCCTGTAAGTGCCTCAAACTACCTGCTGATTTTTAGGGAAACCATAACAGACAGCTTCCAATGGTGGTACTGCAAGCCGTTTGAAATCATACCCAAGAACAGAAGTTTTCCCACCATCACCTCCCCTGGACAATTTGTCTTTCTGCAGAGGCACAGAAATATGTGAGTTTCCAGGTTTGTCCAAATGCAGCTGGTTTGAGGACTTCAGCTTTGAGTCATGGTTAGGGTACAACCCCTGAGATACCTCAAAATTGCCTTCCTCCCTCCCCAAAATTAACAGATAAACTCAAACCCAACTCTTCATCTCAGAAAATCTGTGGGTTTGCTGCTAAGACTAGACATAAACTGTAGCTGAGAGATGGCTTCTCTGGCACATTCTTTAGTCCTGACCTGGAGCTGCAAGGCTGCATCCGCATTTTCATATATACGACGTGCTATTCCCCCATTGCTTAGGGCCATTTTCTCCAGGAACTTATAACTGACATCAAACCCGAAGCCAAGGCAGAAAAGAGCATATTTGCCATTGACTGCTTTCTGAATGTTTTCTTGAATTACTTCCACGTTACTCTCACCTGTAATTGAAACAAAAACACTCTTGTTTGTTTTTTTTAAGGTACAAAAAGACAGCAGCAGGTATAATGGAAAATTCTGCCTAAAGTATTTTAAAAATAAGCCAGAATAAAATATTAAAAATATATGGGACAGAATTCTGTTAATTGAGTTGCAGATGAAAGCACCACTCTGCTTATGGAGTACCAGAACCTCCGCCTTAATGACCTTTATTAACATCTACTCATGTCCTCATGGCTGCAAAATATTTTACAAGGTGACGGGGGGCCAGAGGAGGTTTTTAGGACAAAGGGGACACACACTGCAAGTTAACAGCGCAAGGGATTGAAACACTAGATCAAGGTTGGGAAGATAAGTACCATCCATAAAAATTATGTGTGTGAATTCAGAGAAGAATAGATTGGTTAATGGTGTAATTCAGACAAGCTGCAAATTAACTCAGCCATGCTCCTCTCTCAGCCCCTGGGGAAAAGATTTTCACACCATCATCTTATCCCATTTGAAGAGCTGCTGATGGCTCTGTATGGAGAGCTTCTCTATCAGCATTTCCAGGCAGGACCTGTCACTGCCTGTAGCAATATCATGGGAGCAGCTCAGATTTTTCCCTTTCAGCCTGCTTTGCCAAGGAAGGCATTGTATGCAATAACACCGCGTGTATTTGCCTGGCACTCCACTCTGGCCTGATTTCTAGCCCACTTGTGAATGTACAATGTGCTCGGGGATGCCGGAGACTCACTGTGGCTGTGCTGAGCAGGCAGCACCGTGAGCTGAATTTTATTAAAAAACCCAAACAAATAAACCAACCCCAGAGCAGTATGGCTGACATGATCTGAAAGACATGATCTGAAAGACAGACTGATCTTATTAGAGGGCACACATCTGAATTAATACTGCTGGCCTCAGAGAGATGCTGGTGCCACACAAAACTTAGATAAACTCCTGTTCAGAACAAGTGATGTTTGTGGCATTGCATTGGGAGTTACTGTTTATTTAACACAATATTTCTAGCTCAATCCTCTGGTTTGTGCTATCACCGCTGAGTACTAGTTAAGATCTAGACATGGAAAAGAACACAAAACAGGAGGCACCTTGAAAATATCTCAAGTTTGGGGCAAGGAGGGTGAAGAAATGTAAACAATACCTCTCAAATGGGACTGTACAGAATATATGCAAAATGTCTGTATTTTGGCTCTAAGTATTTTATTTTCACGTTTCAGCTGTGCCTGGAGTATCCCCAACAATAAACTGGGAAGCCAATGGTATTTAGCAAAACAGTTCCCAGCTAAAGGATGCGTAGCTATGGGCAGGCAGGCTCTGCCATCACTTCTTACAGCCCTTGCCAGAGCACTCTCATAATCGTCCTCTCTCTGAGGCAGACCTGAATCCAGCAATACCCCAGTCTGCTTACACCAAAGCTCTCCTGAAACACAGACTATGTCTATCAACATCTGGGGTGCAAGTGTAAAATATTAAAAAAAAAAAATAAAAATCAAGGAAATAGAGGACCTATTTACTCACCAGAAGTGGGCTGGCCATCTGTCAGCAAAATAATCATGGAGACGCTCCGTTCTGGCAGCCTCTCGGATTTATCCAGTACGCTTACGGCAGTCAGCAGGGCACGATTGATGTCTGTGCCTATAATGAGAAAGCAGGGATCGCTCACCTAAACAGAGTAATCATCTGAAGAAATCGGTGCACTTCATCTGCAGAGGCCCTGCAGAGTTGTTTAAAGTTTTCTACAGGAGGTAATCCTTCAGAGAGATGAGGATTTAGGGGTTTAGCCTACCGGGCTTAATTATTGTGTATTATATTGTAATGGCAATGCTGGAATATTCTTTTGGGAGCATTTTCCACACACGTCATGGGAAATACAAACATGTCTAAAGCCATTAAAAAGGGCTTAAATAAACACACTGTCATCTGTTAGCCTATGTTTAAGAAATAGCTCCTTATTTGAAATAGCCTTATTTGAGAAGTCAAAGAGAAGAGCTGGGCACTGGTGGGCTTTATTGGTGTTAGCGCCTGGGATAAGAAAACCTACGTTAACACTAACAGCATAACATTAGGAGGAGATGTAGCCTTTTAGACATGCTTATAACTAAATAATAAAGCACACTGAACAATGTAACAATTGAAATGCTTCATGCTTATTTTGACTATTTTATTTCTGCAGCGTGGCTTACACAGGAGTATAACTTTGGATGCATTTTATTTTACAAGGGGACCCTTGATATTAAAAAACAAACAAACAAAAAACCAACTGGCAAATTGCAGTCAAATGTTGAGTGAATTGCCTTTTTTCTTTAGAAAAAAATGTACTATTGTGAAATCTTCCAGCCATCTCCATTATAAAAATCTGAAACAAAACTTTGTGACTTGTATGGTTCATAGGTGTGACGTAACCATCTCTCTATATCCATATCATAATATAGTCACCAATCTGTCCACTCCCAGAACCAGCCTTTCTATCCCACCCATCACTCTTAAGTATTAAAAACTTACTTGCTTTGTGAGCGCTGATTTCTGTGGCAATATATGACTAATAAAAATAATGATTTTTTTTCTAAGCAGTATAATATATTTGGTGCATGTGTGTGCTTAAAAACATCCAGGTGGTGCCTTTTACCTCCACTAGCAGAAAGAGTTTGCACGAATCCTGCAGCACTCGCTACGTTCTCTGCAGTGGCTTGCAGCAAAGAGCTCTTCCACTCTGCCACTTTGTTGTTAAAGGTGATAAAGCTGAAATGATCTTCTGGCCGGAGGTCTTGCAAAACCTTCAACAGGGCATCCCTCGTCTATTCCAAGGAGAAAACAATCACTTTGAGTATTTCTGCTTCTCTGCCAGAAATGGGATTGGAATTGCAGTGTTGTAACTGGGTTTCTCTACAGCACTATTCAAGATGTAGCCAGATGCCCTTAGTTAGTCCTAATGACATTTTTCAGGTTGAGAATGTCAGAAATGTCCGATTCACTTAACTTACAGGGACAAAAAAACCACCTATGAAGGCTGTAGCGGACTTGTCTGCTCTCTAGCAAAGCTACACATGCAGTCATCAATAAAGGTAAAACAGACAAATTACTTCATTAAAGAAAAAAATTAGAAGCAAAATATTATGCAAAGAAAGAGACAGAAAAAGTGCTCTTTGCCTTAATGTTCGATACCTGCGAGAATAGCCATATCAGAAAAATGTTGCTTTTTAATAGTTTAAATCTGTGCATATGTATTTTCAAGCATTTCTATATGTCTGAAAAATTTGCTGCATACAAAACCAGCATGTGTTTCGAAAGTGAAATTCAGAGTGACTTCCTTGAAAGGCTGGTGTGCGTGACTGATGCAAGCAGCAGCCAGTACTTTGAGGTAAGTTACCTGTTCAATTTTTCTGCCTGCCATGGAGCCACTTCGATCTATAACAAAGATGACATTTTTGGGAAACACTGGCATTTCATGGGGTGCAAAGTAATGCACAAAATATCCATTGACAATCTGAAATACAGAATGTGAAATCATGTATAAAGTTACATCTAAATAAATATTGCATTTTAACATTGTGGCATAGGAAGAAGGAGGGGTGCATACTCAGCATTCTGTTCTTCTAGATAAACCCAAATCAAAGAACTATTAACATGTATTTCCTAGCTGGAAGCGAGACTATCTATAGAAAGCAAATTACATAAGAACAGCATATATGTATTTCCTATATGTTTTTAAATAAATAAATATATTACATGCCTCAGTGCCACATGCATAATATATCTGTATTATCACTGTATATTATATTACCTCTTTATTATTGCCTACAAGCACATCTTTGCTCATTGACTGTGACTGCCATCTTTTAGCACATCCATGTATACTTCATTGGTGAAATGGTATGGAAAACAATGTACTTTATTCCCTAGGATATGCATTATTCCATCAATATTTTTAAGTTCCTGCTCTCTTTAGTTATGCCTCAGTTGTCACAAAAAATTAAAAAGAAAACCAAGCAGTAATTTTAATAGTTATATAAATCACATTCCTTTAAGCTTCATTTACAAGAAGCTGCAAACACATCTAAGATTAGCCAAAATAATAATAAAAACAGATTATAAAAAGATGTCTACAAAGTGGCAATAGAGATTTGGTATTGAAACAAAATTTGAAAGACTGATTGTTTTTCATGCATGATCCATTCTTGCAATGTGTCTGGTGTCTCTGGGGATTTACTGAACATCGCCGTAAGTTCCTG